AATATGTAGTAAGTAATTCTCTATAAATATTAACAGATCTATTGACGCCCCTGCTGTTATCTTGACTTAAATTATCTACCAAGCTTTGAATGGTTAAAGTGTCCTCAAACTCAAAACCATCACGTTCACGTACAAAATTATGAAGTACACAGCAGCATTTTACGATATCAGTAGCAAAATCTATATTAACATCGACTGCTCTATGAAGGATACGCCATTTATTGTTCAAGATTCCGAACGTACATTCGACAAAACGTCTAGCTCTAGAGAGTTAAATATTCTTTTATTTACAGTCAAATATTTGCCTGCATATGGTTTTAACAGATGTTTTGATAACGCGAAGGCATCGTCACCTATAAATGCATACAGCATAGCTATATCAATTCCAAGAATCTTTTCTGAAGGCGGTATGTCAAGGGTATTATTTTCTATGCCTTGCCATAATGAGCATTTTTCGAAAATTGTGGAGTCTACCATATGAGCCAACATCAACATATATAAATCGGTAATTAGCATCAGCTACTGCCATTAAGTTAATGGAAAAGTAGGTTTTATAATTAAAATATATAAGTATGTACTTTCCATCGACTGCCCCCATGCAGTGGGGGAAGTTAGCTTTCCGTTTAAAACCATCTGCAATTTGCTTCCACGTTGCTGCATTAGGTTTGGGAATGCATTCATTCTTCATTAACACCCAGATTTGTTGACAAACTAATTGTATGATTCCACCTACAGTTGATCGACCAACTCTGTAACCATAATGTAATTCTTTCATACTACAGTCACTTGCCAGATATCTAGAAGAAAAAAATATTGTCAACTTTTACAATTTAGGAATTCTCATTTAATTATTATTATTTGTTTATGTTTAAGTTATGAAGACATTTCCATTAATATGCGTTTTGTTCCAGTACTAAATGTTACGGCCAAATGGAAATCTATAAGAGACAGCTTCATACGAAATTTAAAAAAAACAGACGGTGTTGAAAAAATCAGATACCGCGAGAAAGAGAGTACCGCATTATGTTTACGAAGAACAGCTTCGGTTTTTGCAGAAAAATCGTGAAATGCGACCAACAGAAAGTACGGTTGATACAATAGAAGATGATGACGCTAATGGTAATTCTAGTGACGATGATGACTGTGAGAATGTAACGCTAAACGCAATTGAAAATGCTGAACCTGCGGAGGACACTTCTTCAAAACGCAATGTCACGTCAGAGTCACAAACACCCTCTAGAAAAAGGTAGAAGCGAAATATTGAAGAAAAAGTTTCTCAATTTATTGATTCTACTTTGAAGAAACAAAAAGAAAATGATAGAAAGGAACCAGACGAAGATGAGCTTTTTTTACGTCACTCATTCCATCGGTAAAGCTCCTCACAAATGATGAGAAAATACAATTCCGTATAGAAATTTTGCACATATTGCAACGATTCAAAAACAACAAAACAGTTAATACTGGTACGTACAGTACAATTCAGTATAGGAATCCTAGATTTCAATACGGACATGCATGTAGTTATCCAAACTACACAGATAATAACTTAACCCCCTTAGGCCCCAGCAGTTCATCGGCTGGGTCATATTTGTCCGATTTTTCGCCTGAAGGTGATTCTGCACAATATTAAGACCCTTTTCTGTAAGGTGAAGTTGGTTAACTGGAAGGTAAATTTACAACATTTTTCAAAGAGCCTACTCTTACTCAGTATGTAAACATCTTCGGAGACTTTTGTGTGTGCACATAGCGAACCTCATCTATTCATAGTATTAGTCGCCAAAAAACTTAAGAATTGGCGCACAGGAGCATACATTACAAATTTTTCTTTGTAATCATTGCGCCCAGTTACCCCAACAAACGGGGCAAGTGGAATGTACGGTAGTACCATAAGAAATGGATTAAACATTCTGTGAGGCAACTGGGATGCACTTTAAAGGGCCCTCAATTAATTTACCAAAAACGGTTTTTATTACAAATATCAAGGAAGTTATGGGAGTCGAAATAAAAGCTATACGAAACCAACTTTTCTTTTAATATAAAAGTGGAATGTTAAAATAAAATATCTCTCTAAAAAGTTAAAAAAACTTAAAACATTGTGTGCCTTATAAATATTTAACAAATATTTAATTCATTTTGCAGGCTTGTGAATAAATATTTCCCTCTCCTTATGTGCGGCTTCGGGAGTTTCCGCAAGATTTGGCATTGGGGCATTATGTGAGTATCCGCAACATCTGGAAAGACGAAATACTCCTTCTTATGCCTCATACAGGACACTTCGTAGCAATCACTATTTAGTAATTTCACCAGTTGACATACAAATAGCTTCCTTGTTTCTTTCTTTGTGTCTCGATCGTAAATAAAGCTGCATAAAACGAAATCTAGAATGTCGACAGAAATATCACATTGCGATAAATCAGACAGATTTTCCAATGGTAGGGCTTCTTCGTCCACATATTCATCCGGTTGATCGTCATCTGCCAGATCGATGTCTTCGTCGATATAGTTTTCTTCAATTTGTTTTTGTATAGTAGAGCAAGACGACTCTGAAGAGGTTGAAATATTTCTTTCCTTTCTTTATTTCGTACGATTATTTTTTGCTGTTTGCGTTTTGGTCTTCTTTTCTATCTGTGCTAACTTCTTATTTTCATCTTCTTGTTTCTTTTTAAAAAATTCTTCTGATGTTATAATTTCAGCCCCTGTACATATTCGTCTCCTTTTTGGTTGCTGAATTGGATCAGGTTTCTTGTGCCTTGTCAGCATCTGGGTTAAGAGTTCCTCAAATGTTTGAGTTGGCCCTATGACATGCGTAGAAATAGATTCATTGCCAACATCTCCGTTTTCTGCGATTTTATTCGCATCTGTTGAAGCTCCAGGAAGTGGAGTATTAGATTTGTGACTTACATCTTCACCATCAACTGATAATTCATCAATATGGGTTGAAGGTCCAGGAAGAGGATGAGGAGTGTTAGATTTATGGGTCGCATCTACATCAACTAATAATTCATCCATACGGGTCGAAGGTCCAGGAAAGGGAGTAGAAGAGGGGGGTATTAGCACCATTACCATTATCTTTAACTTCGTTATTGTATTTGGTAAGATCAGATTTCAAAAAAATAGTTTCTGGAATCTGGTGCCTATCAGGATACCCTGTTTGAGGATTGTAAATCCCCGTTGCTCGGAAAGCATTTACAATGTTACTAATTGGCATTCCTTTATATTCCTTATTAAGAATGTCAACAAATTCACTCTTTGAAAATTTTCTTCTGGGATTCATTCGCTGCCAGTAGTGCCTTGTCCCAACTGCTTTTCATCCCCTTAAAAACACCTACATCCAAGGGCTGTAGTATGTGTGTGGAATGTGGGGGCAATTTTAAAATGGTGATGTTGTTATCTATTGCCTTCCTAATTACTTCACAAGTGATATGTGAGACATGACCATCAACTATAAGAAGAGCAGGACGTTCTTGTGGAATGTTAGGGATAAAGCACTTGCTAAACCACTTTGAAAAAATAGCTGCCGTCATCCATCCTCTATCTGAAGCTGCAAAAGCGGTTTTATCCATGGGATCTGCTTCATCGGGTATCATCGATTCTAAAACGTTCTTCCCTTTGAATATAGATAATAAAGGCAATTTGTTCCCAGATGCCGAACAACACACTAAGACAGTGGTATTTTCTCGCCCACAAAAAGAGATAGTTCTAGAGCACTTTGAGCCTACATCCCCCAGAATCTTTGTTTTGGATGGATCACTTGAAAACGAAGTTTCATCGCAATTAAATAGTAAGTGAGGTTTTCTCGCCAAATTTAGATCTTTAACGTTTTTTCGAGTAAATCAAAGAACTTAAATATTGTCCAGGGATTTTCTTGCTTCTTTCTTGCTGCCTCTACGCCCTGGGGTTTCTTTAATGATAATTTGTTCCTCTTACAATAATTTATAAACCACTCCTCACCAGGACGGTCGTCTTTGAATTTCGTTTTTAATTTATTTTGTTTAACGTAAACCTGCACAAGGTCTAAAACTTCTTCTCTGGACAACCCGTGGCCCCATGTTTGCATTTGATTTAAAATTTTTGTAAGTTCGGCTTCAATTTCGGAACTTAAAGCGCTTACTCCTCCTCCACCCTTACCATTCTTAGCTGTCACTCCTTTGCCCCTGGTACCACGGACGTGGTGACGTAAAGTGGATAGATCGTCATGTTTCCATTTTTTACGTCATTTACAGCGTCGTCCAGCACTCTTTTGCTATACGATCCGCTGTCCACCCCTTTTGCGGTTTTTCTAATGTAATTTCGAACCATATCGTAGCGCTAAAACCACAAAAATATATGTAAAGATTGACGGGGTAAGTGGGTGGTGTTGCCTTCCAATAGGTACCTTTACACGAGCGCACTCTCATGCGAGAATGGCGCCTCCAAGAGTGTAGCGTTCCAAGAGTTTATAGCTTAAAATTTAAACGTTCCAGTTGGACATGCTTTCCCGCATTCCGGAACGTGAAGGGATAAACCTGTTAGTGTAAATCGAAAAACGTCAACTTTCACGCGGGATTAACACGTCGGGTGGAGTTTCAGAATGTCTAAAATCTTTCTAAACGGTTTTAGTCGTTTTAGTGTTTTTTTGGGGTCCGTTAACTTGGCCCCCCCACTGAGAGATTTCATAGTCGTATTATTTTGAAATGAATGCGCGCTCATATGCGCCACCGATAATAACTCTTGCGCCATTATCGTTTTTTAGAAATCCGAAAAAACATTTGTGGGCCAAGTGAACGTAGCCCCCCCCCCCCAGTACGTATTTTGTCCCTTGTAACTAGGTCACCTGATACATTTGGTTATGCGCTCAATTGCGCCACTTGAATTAAAGCTAGCGCCATTACGGTTATAGGTCGATTCACATTATACGACACGGACCGACACGTTCCGGCACCGACGCGTACCGTCAACGACACGACAAAACGTAAAAACAGGATCTTTAATGAAAGCATCTACACTTAACCGTTACCGGTACGTTTCCGTAACGGATCGTACCGACACCGATCGACATTCTCGCGAAGAATGTTTTGACGGTGTTGGCGGTACGTGTCGGTCCTATCGTGCCAGTGTGAATTAGTAAACGGCGGCGTACAAACGCATCGAAGAATGGATCAAGACAAATTAATTGCAAATGTGAAGGCCTATGAGCCATTATATGTCACAAGCCATCCGAAATATAGTGACAGTGGCTACAAAGAAAATTTATGGAAAGCAATTGCAAAGGAAATGAACCAGTCAGGTAAAACATTAGCTTTATTTATAAACTACTATAAGTATAACTAATTTCTAATCTATTGTATCTTGCCATTCAACACGCCCGTGCTCAGACGTAAAAAATTCCCTAAATCTATCGCGAATAGTAAATGCAGTATTCACAGCACTTCCCCCTTGCCGTGGTATATTTTGCAAATTAATGCCAGTGTTGGGATTATTCTCAAAATCTGGAATATTGCTGCAGTCTCGTAGGTAATTGTGCAAAATACACGTTGCCAAAATGACCTTATCTGCATTTTCTGGCTTTAACTTTAATCTTCGATTATAAAGCTGAAATTTTTGACTCAGGATTCCAAACGCATTTTCCGAAACTCGTCGCGCTCGTGAAAGGCGGTAATTGAAAATTCTTTTAGACCTATCGTCTTGAATTTGCGAACCAGGATATGGTCTCAATAAATATCTTTTTAAGGGAAACGCCTCATCACCAACGATGACAAAAGGCATACTTGTACTTGTATTAGGCAGCTCAGTATCTATTGGAACATTTAATTTATTTTTTTCAAGAGCTCTGCCCAAGTTAGAGTTAGCAAATAGACCTCCATCGCTATTCCTTCCATATCCACCTATATCTACTGCAATGAATTTATAATGTGCATCCACTAATGCGAGAAGGACAATAGAAAAAGTTTTCTTATAATTAAAAAACTGAGAGCCACTGTTTGCGGGAGCTTGGATAACTACATGTTTGCCGTCGAGAGCGCCAATGCAGTTAGGAAAATTCCAAACATTCCAAAATTCTTCGGCAATTTTTTTCCAACTATCTTCTGTAGGGTTTGGCATCATTAATGGCATCAAATTCTTTATTATTGCTTCACATACTTCAATCACAATCGATTGTACTGTTGAGTGTCCGAGCCGATAACTGGTAGCTATGGTTCTAAATGAATCACCAGTAACTAAGAATCTGCAATATATGTTAGAAATTAATTAACTGTACATTTTTTATACAAATATTGTTCATTTTTTAGTGGCAGTTTGTAAAAAAATATGGACGAATCTGCGAGATTCCTTTAGAAGAGCGATGAAAAAGAGACGTGAAACGAAAAGCGGGCAGGCAGCCTCTAAAATCAAGAAATGGAAATTTGAAGATGAGATGTCGTTCCTATTACCATTCATGCAAGAACGAGACACTTGCAGTAATTTGAAGGATGTTAGTGATGATGATGATGAGAATAATGAAGAGGAATCACAGGAAACCGAAGATGATGGTAAAAATAAACTAGATGACGATGGGATCAACAACACAGATGATGTGGATGGTCAGTTACACATCGAGGATGGTAGAAAGGAAAAAGAACTCAGTCGAAAGATTGTCAACGCTGCTAGAAGAAAGGGAACGAGAAATCAAACACAACCAGAAACAGCATCAGCAGTAATGATGAAATATTTGCTAAATAAAAAAGCTACTAAAGAGCAGTCGACTCAACAGCCCAATGCAATAGATACATTTTTCTCGAGTATTGCAACAACAGTCAAAAGTTTTTCTCCTTATCATCAGAACGTAGCTAAATCGCACATATTCTCCATTGTGAGTGATCTTGAAATGAAACAAATTGTGCAACCACCACAATTTTTCTCCAACAACACGCCCACACAACGACCTCAGTATGTACCAACGCAATTTCAAAGCATAAGTGTGCCATCACCGTCACCAACACCATCGTCATCAACCCTACAAACTACGTCATCTTCTTCGTCCTCGAGAATTGCTACGCCAATTCAGTCACCACCATGCTACGATTTCCCATCGTCGATTTCAATGCAACATTTAAACCAAGAAACAATATATACTGAGAATATGTAAATTAGTATAAATAAAAGTACTTACCTTAAACATACTGCAAGTCTTTCTGTGGGCGAAATTGCTTCACGAAAACACGAATTTTGTTTATGTAAATCCGGTCCAATTGATTTTAATAAATCAAAAAAATTGTATTGCGGCATCCTAAAATATTGATAAAACTTGTCGTCATACTTTAACAAGTTCTTGAACAATGTCCAATGCTCCCCTTCAATTTTTCTATGTTTTAAAATTGGATGTACCCATTTTCGCCCCTTTTTTTTCTTTTTTAACCCTTCAGCTTCTTCCTCATCTAACAGCAAGGCTACAAAAGCCAAATCATCGTCACTGGATGACTCGTCCATAACCACTGCCTACGTGACTGCTGAAATTTGTCGGTGTAGTGTGAATGCTACGCAAAAATTGTCGTGTCGTTGACGGTACGTATCGGTGCCGGAACGTGTCGGTCCGTGTCGTATAATGTGAATCGACCTTAAGCCGTGACAAATTTTCAAAAAGTGGGGGGGCCAACTTAACGTTTTTAAAAGTTACTTTTTTTTAACATCTTTTCATACGAAATTGTACTCTCAGGTATGCGCTGAAATGCGCCGTAAAAAGATATCTTTGCGCCATTATTGTTTTTTGGTTATCCTTAAATATATTTGGGGGGGGGGGGCAAGTGAACGGAATCCCTCATAACGCATTTTGCTACCGGTATTTGTGTCACTTGATACATCTGGTTATGAGCTCAATTGCGCCACTTGAATTAAAGCTAGCGCCATTACGGTTAAGCCATAAAAAATTTTTAAAAAGTGGGGGGGGGGCTAACTTAACGTTTTCAAAAGTTACGTTTTTTAACATGTTTTTTTTTACTACATCGTACCTTTCATCATGCGCTAAAATGCGCCGTAAACAAAAATCTTGGCGCCATTATAGTGTTTTAGAAACACTATACAGGGTGTTTTTTGGGAGCTTTAGTTAAACGATTCTGGGAAAGTAAAATAGGTAGGTTTTTAAAAATTTGTATTTAGGAGTTACTCCGAAGGCCGAATCGATGTAAAATATTTTCAAAATGGACGCACTTCCGGAAATAACTTTTGAAAACCCTAAGTTAGACCCTCCACTTTTTAAAGAATTTTTATGCCTTAACCGTAATGGCGCTAGCTTTAATTCAAGTGGCGCAATTGAGCTCATAACCAGATGTGGCACAAATACCGGTAGCAAAATGCGTTATGGGGGATTCCGTTCACTTGGCCCCTCCCCCCCAAATATATTTAAGGATATCCAAAAAACAATAATGGAGCAAAGATATCTTTTTACGGCGCATTTCAGCGCATACCTGAGAGTACAATTTCGTATGAAAAGATGTTAAAAAAAAGTAACTTTTAAAAACGTTAAGTTGCCCCCCCCCACTCTTTAAAAATTTGTCACGGCTTGACCGTAATGGCGCTAGCTATAATTCAAGTGGCGCAATTGAGCGCATAACCAAATGTATCAGGTGACCTAGTTACAAGGGACAAAATACGTACTGGGGGGGGGGGGCTACGTTCACTTGGCCCCCCCAAATGTTTTTTCGGATTTCTAAAAAACGATAATGGCGCAAGAGTTATTATCGGTGGCGCATATGAGTGTATAACGAGCGCATTCATTTCAAAATAATACGACTATGAAATCTCTCAGTGGGGGGGCCAAGTTAACGGACCCCGGCTAGAGCACCTACCTCTCCGGATGTTGGATCATAAAACCGCTGTAACAGCTGAATGCAAGTCGATTTACCGCACCCGGAACTGCCGACCAGCGCAACCGTCTCCCCAGACTTAATCTCAATGTCGATACCTTTCAAGACCTACTAAACGTGAAATTGCCTTCGCGAGCCTTGCTACTCACCTTGACGCCCTTTCGCGAAGGGTACTCGAAGTGAACCTTCCGAAAGCTAAAGTCTCCCTTAACTTCCTTCGGTTAGAGCCCCACGTTCTTGGCGGCGTTTATAACAGGGGCACTATCGATGACTGCAAAAATTTTGGTAGCCGCCCCCTTGGATATGCCGAACTGTTCGATGTACGGTGACGACATGCCGAAATTAACACTCCCTTGCATTACAGCGAAGAACACCTACAAGACTATCAACTCTTTAATGTCCTAGACACCCCCGCGTCATCCTACCGTGACCATGTTGCCGGGATCGTAGACTCGCTCCTGCGGCGGAAGCGACTTCTCCTCCAAAATTAGCTTGATACCGTACCAAAACGCCAACGCGTAACTGGCGTAGATGAAGAACTACAACAGTCCGAAACCAATACCGCTCAGCAGCGATCGCTTGATGTTGTTATTTCGGGCGAACGTTAAGCGATCGGAGTATCTCGCGATCTCCTTCTCTTGGCCGCCGAATGCGACCACCGTACGGATTGCTGTCAGCACCTCTTCGGCGATTGCACCCGCTGCACCATATGCGTCCATCTCTTTCACCGCCAATTTTCCTGTTAACTACTTTAGATTAATTACCTGACTTCACTATAAATGGCACGTAAGTCAAAGTTTAGTATCGCAAAATCCTCTACGGTCCTAGTAAACAATAAATTCTACCCACGTTGGGTTACTTCCGACTTTTTCACCTACAGAAGTCTATACACAATTGGCCATACGGAGATTCACACCCACAAACGATTGACAAAACGGCACGTGAAATTTCATACTTTCCAGTACAGGTTGATGACGGCGAAAAAATTAAAACTGCAAAGCGCCCAGAATTCGCCTCACCGTGACGGTCGAGTTCGGACCGGGAAAGATAGCAGACGTGCTCAGCGATCTCTGCGTTTACTTTAGTAAAGAACCCGTTAACTTTTAAAGTCCGGACTTAATGCAAACTTACATTCGAAGCCCAAGCGGAATTTGTCTTTATCAAGACACGAATCACGCGCGAAGATTTAAAACTGTGAGGAGGTCAGGACAGTGTGCTAATCAAATCCAAAGAACAATGAGGGCGAAATCGAAGAAGTGCGAACGAACGAGTACGCCCTAGAGTTCGTCGGGATAAATAAGGACAGGGACATGGCTGTTTGGAGCAATTTGGCAGCAACTCAGGGAACTCCCGGTGTCATACTTTTTAGTATTCAAATCCTTTAAAGTATTCAAATACTTTGTAATTAAATACTTTTATGGAAGCAGTATTTGTATTTGTAACTCAAATACTTTCACAAATATTTAGTATTCGAATACTTCGCAAGGTATTTGAATACTTTGAGAAGTATTTTTTAATTTTTTACCAAAAATCGACTACACCAAAATTGCTCGGGAAAACACTTTTTCTTATTAATTTTGGTGCGTAGAATCCAAAACAATTCGTACTTTTTCGATTAGACTTCTCAATCAAAAGTTATAGACTAGAAACCAAATTCGAAAGAAAATTCAAAGGGCTGTTACTTCTGAACTAGTAGCCCAATCTTGGAACTGTTTGAAATTATCGATTCTACAGGCCACATTCTATAAGAAAAAATTTTTTCCGGGTCGATCTGGGACAATTTTTTTTGCGGGCCTCAAAAAAAGGCAGAGTATAACCTTCCTTTTTTACCAAAAATCGACTACACCAAAATTGCTCGGGAAAACACTTTTTCTTATTAATTTTGGTGCGTAGAATCCAAAACAATTCGTACTTTTTCGATTAGACTTCTCAATCAAAAGTTATAGACTAGAAACCAAATTCGAAAGAAAATTCAAAGGGCTGTTACTTCTGAACTAGTAGCCCAATCTTGGAACTGTTTGAAATTATCGATTCTACAGGCCACATTCTATAAGAAAAAATTTTTTCCGGGTCGATCTGGGACAATTTTTTTTGCGGGCCTCAAAAAAAGGCAGAGTATAACCTTCCTTTTTTACCAAAAATCGACTACACCAAAATTTCTCGGGAAAACACTTTTTCTTATTAATTTTGGTGCGTAAAATCCAAAACAATTCGTACGTTTTCGATTAGACCTCTCAATAAAAAGTTATGGACAAAAAACAAATTTCGAAAAAAAATTCAAAGGGCTGTAACTTTTGATCTAGTAACCCAATCTTCAAACTGTTTGAAATTATGGACTCTCGATCGATCTCGATCTCAGACAATTTTTTTTCCGGTCTCAAAAAAGGCAGTACTTTTAAGTTATTCAAATATTTGAGAACAATTTAGAAATGTTTAGGGAAAGTTTCCATTGTCACAAAATCAAATATAAAAATCCGATACATCTGAATACCGAACTCGATAGTCTACGTAACTAAAAAACAATAGGGACCTTTCTTATATCCTTAAAACCATGTGTACCAATTTTCAAAGCGATCGCACGTTTCTAAACAAGTTATCATGCACACGGACAAACGGATGGTCAAAAATGGATCTGTTCCAAAATCGCTAGGATTAATTTCAGAAAGGCGTACGTATCATGTGCACGACGTACGATCGCTTTGAAAACTGGTACTCGTATTCTTAAGGTTATAACTGGTATAAGAAAGGTCCTGGTATGTACCTCCAATATAATAATATAATAATAATAATAATACGCTTTTACTCCCCTTAAATTTGTATATAACAATAGAAATATAAAAAAAGCTAACCCCATACCCTGCCCCATACAAAGTATAACTTGATTTTTTAAGTAGTATTAAGCCTTTTATCTAGTATACTATTTTAAATTTTTAATGTATTTGAGTGACAAGTATTTGAATACCTTTTACTGTATTCCAATACTTTTCAAAGTAAGATAATGAAATACTTTTCAAAGTATTCGAATACTTTTGCAAGTATTCGAATACATTCTAAAGTATTTGAATACTTTTCAATGTATCTGTATCTAGTATTCGCTTGTGCTGGACGTAAAAGTATTTAGTATTCAAATACTTTTGATTTGTGTAAAGGTTTTACTATTTAGTATTCAAATACATTTTTAAAGTATTCTGCCCAGCTCTGCAGGAGATTAACCAAAAGAATTAGGGAAGAAACTAACACATACTCCAGGGAGGACCTGGAATTGATAGGGAACGTAGTGGAATTAGAACCCCGGTATGATCAATATATCACTAATGAGGTCGAAGCATACGTGGGGGATCACAGAACTACGGGAGTTTGGGGAGGATACGAGTCTTTGGTGGCAGCGGCCAACAAATATAACAGCCAGATAGTGGTCTACGAAGAAGAAGGCAGGAAACACATCATATACCCGCGAGAAATAGCGGGTGACTGCTACTTAGCATACAGACTAAGGAGTTACAATGTCCGGAACCACTACGACAGTGTGCTGAGGGCTGTAACATGCTAGGGGAGGTAGATGAAGAGGAGGAACACTGGAGAACAAGGGGGAGTACGAGGAAGCGAGAGGAACCGCCGCTGTCCCAAGCGAATCTAGTCTGAGCATGATGGTATCCGGGAGGAGTGCCAAGCCGAGAAAGAGTGGAAATAACCAGGATAGTAGCCGGGATGCAGAAGGAGTCAACAGCATGAGGGTAGCCACTTGGAATGTACAAGGGACAAACGACCCAGCTAATCGACGACGAATTAAGAAACCTGGATATAGAGGTAGCCAGCCTACAGGAAACCAAACTAATAAGTGCGATGGCAGCGACAAGGAACTACGAATGGTGGATAGGAGGCGAGAGAGCGCAGAGGCACAGTAATCGTAATCAGGAAACACCGTGGCATTGAGGTTGACAAATTTGAAGAAAAAAGCGACCGTATATGAGTATGGTCCAAATCAAGGCAAGCTTAGGAAGACTAACGGTTATAGGATGCCACATCCCCTACGACAAATTAAAGGGAACAAGCGGAATTCAAGAAACTGAGCGAAATAATAGAACAAAAGAACGGAAGATACCCGGGCATCATATTAAGAGACTTCAATGAGCAACTAGGCAGACTAGAAGGAGGGAAAGGGAGGAACAAAGGATAGGCAAAATGCTCAAGTACGAGCAAGACAACGTGAATGGCAGCGAGCTTAAGAACATGCTACAACTGGAACTGAGGGTGGAAGACACATTCAGGAAATCCAAAGCGTTGCTGAGAAGAAAGCAAAAAGGGAGGAATGGTCAGGGGGCAAAGTGGGATGTGAGACTTCTGACAGTGGAGAAGAAAAGGGAAGGGCATAGAAAGGGGCAGGACAAGACCAGAAACAAAAGGAGGGAAGGGAGACCATCTTGGAGTAGGATCGCTGAGATGCTCAAGGCAAAACACTAGGGGGGCATAAACCGCCCATGTCACCGAACAGGAAGCAGGCCATGGACAACCACAGAAGAGCACTGAAGAGGTTTGGGCAAAACTCACACAAACTCGAAGCAAAGAAGGGGGGCCGAAGAGGAGCCTTTGAACAAGATGGGATCAAGGAATTGGCCTAGTTTGCAAAGAACATCGCCAAGATTAGCCCAATGGAGAAGAACACGTATATCAAAGAAGAAAGAAGGAGGAACCAAAAAATATGTACCAATGGCGGCATGGGGAAAGCTCCTGAAGGAGGAACAGGAAGCACAGTTCCAGCTATTGGTCACTACCGCCGCCTTCTCATTTTAAAACTATCACATTTGCGCGAAAGTTTAATAATGGGCCTATTTTAATGCCGAATGAGCCAAAGGTATCCAAAAGTGGTAGCTGTAAGGCCAGTTGAGTAAAGGTCTGGTGGGGCAAGTCAGACCTCAACTTTGCCTAGGCCTAAGCTTGTGAAGATAGTGAAATAATGGAAATGTACAAGAAAATAGAACGTCTAATGGAGAAGGAAGGGGGAGCTTGTTGCAAAATAGTCACAGCGCATCATCTTTCATCTACAAAATGTTTATACTTCAGGGCTCTCGTGACAGTTTATGGGCATGGATAATCAGATTCTCTCCTCTTAAAAGGTGCCGCAAGGAACGTAGTACAGGTGCGAGTCCCTCCACTCCCAACAAAAGAGAAGGACCGCTAGAAAATGATGTTAAAAGAATCTCATGGAGTTTTTCTGCAAATTTCGATAAAATATGAGTGTTTACTAGGGGGTATTCCATACCCCTCAGACCCCTCGGGTAACAATTTCATTCACAAAATGTTTGCACTTTAGGACTTTCATGGTAGTTTTATGGTAGAAATGATTAGATCTTCTTTTCCTAAAAAGTGCTGCAAAGGTCGTAGCACCGGGGGACCTGGAGGGTATTCAATACCTCCCACCAAAGGAAAATGAATGACAACTTCTTGAAAATGATATTAGAAACATCTGGGGGGTATACCCTGCGATTTTGGGCCGGGGGAGTATACTTACTATTGCAACTATGCCTATAGATATCATCGTGATCGGTAAAGATGTGAGGCAAATGAGGGCCAGCTCCCAACCTTTCACCAACGCCAAAATTACGCTGGTGACAAACGTAACCTGGAAGTTCAGGAACATGGACACTTTGTCTCCCATACCATCTTCCAGCTTGGTAATGTCTCTACAAGAAAACGCGTTAGCTTTCCGGACGTGAAGCCAATTGTGAGCTTACTCAGACATGCGGCTAGCGAAATCGCCAGTTTGCTCTAGGTCATACCATCCCACGTCTTGGTTCAGAGAGCTACTGAAGTACAACTGTCGAATCTTGTTCACTTGCCGAACAGCGCTATAGTTGTAGAGTACAGTGGACGAGTAGCTTAGAATGAACATGGCGACGCCCAGAAGGCAATTCTTTATCGCGAACGCTATAATGTTGTCGATGAACTCTACGCCGGCGGCTTCTTGAGCGATTCTCGCATATCGGATAATGTCACCCGTAAGCGACCCAAAGATAAGAACGTTTAGGGGTTGGATAACCCCCGTACCCATCGCGCATAAGGTGCCCAACGCCAAAAGCCATCGGTCGAAAGTCGCGGCGTATCGGTACTGAAAGGATTTAGTCAAACGTCCAAAGTTACAACCCCTAACTTGCGCTTACCACTCCAAAAAATCCGACGGTCTTCAGGGGGTTCTTGAATTCGCTAGAAGCACTAATCGGGATCATTATACCTAAAAAATATAACTGAATCAAATACACTTACCCAGATTGGTTGTTTTTTTCGGGATTAGTAGCTAAATCCTCCTCATTTAGCTCGCCGGTTTTCATGGCACCTGAAAGATAACGCGGTTTAGATAACCAATCTTAATTATGTCATTGGGGGAGATTAAACTCCATTTCATCACTATACACACACATACAACTTTGCTTAGTCACGCTAATTGCGCTAGATTAGGACCAAGACCGAAGACGAAAACGGGAACGGAACGATTCCGGTTATAAATAAATCTCGGCGTATGCTACCTACCTAGTGGGAATATATACGGGATGTATCGCTTTCAGATACATACCAAGCAAGCAGCAACACCCTAGAGCTCGTATGGATCAAAGGGAATGCCGGAACGGAAGGTAATGTGAAATCCGATCAATTAGCCCGACTGGCCTCAAAACGGGCGTTTTAAGGTCCAGAGCCGGCTCTTCCACTTACAGTTACAACTGTAAACAACCCAATAACTCAAGACACCCAAACCCAGCACAGGGCTAGGTGGAACCTGAAGTTAGATTGTCGCCATGCGAGAGAAGCCTTCAGAGAACCATCTCGTAGCTTGACGCGTTTTTGTACAGGGCTATCAAGGAAGAACCTGAGGTTACTCGTGGACATACCTTCTGGGCACTGTAAACTAAACAAGCACATGCACTGCATGGGTTTGGTGGAATCACCATCTTGTAGAGGATGTTACACAGACGACGAGACGGCACACCACATACTCTGTGAATGTCCCGCTCTAGTCCAACTAGATCCATGTTGGGGAAATGGCTACGATTAGAGTCGCCTCCCCTTCCAGTGTACCAAGGTTCATTTCACGTGTGAGATGGCTTGAGTGACGTTGAGTGGTCGGGCGACCTTAGTCAGGGAGGAGGGCCCGAATTTGAGGCCTATGTACGCGTGGACTCTGTTCACCCTCCTATCGTAATCCAGAATCCAGGAGGGGGTTGACCTTCTCTACTTAAAACAAAACTTCGGATTTTTAAGCACACTTGAAAATTCTTCAAATTTTAACTGACGCGTTAGCTCAAACCCTTGTATCAGAAGCAGCCAAGGTACGACGAATAAAACCAGTAGAGGAGGAGAGTACCGTTCAAAACAGTCTAGGCTATGGTGACAAAGACACAGCTCCGGTGTTGGAATTGCGGAGAGCTTGGGCATTTCCAGAATCGTTGTCGAAAGACTAGTGGGAGTTAACAGCCGGGAAAACTAGAAAAAGGTCCCACTGTCCCCACACTCACTAATAGTTCGATTTGTGACGACGGTTTAGTGGATGGCAAACCAGTCCATACTTCTTTGATATCGGCAATAATGACACCACTTATTTGGATAAAACAATTATCAGCCACTGATTGGAAGCTAAGGACGGCGACTGGTGCTATTGTTAAGCTGAGTATGGAAGTCATGACGAAGTACGGTTCAAGATGGATTTAAGGAGTTACTCACAAGACAACAAAAGAGACATGGTAGCGATCTAATAGTCCTTGGGTTTCGCCTGTGATATTGGTTAAAAAGAAGGACAAATCCACACGATTCTTTATGGATAATCGTCGTCTCAATGATTAAAAATATAGCTATCCGTCTCCAAGTTGTTCTCGAATTGGCTCTAGAAGTTTTCAAGAAGACGGAATTTACGATCGGATCGGACTTATGGCATTTTACAGTCATGCCGTTTGGATTGTGTAACACACCCGCGACGTTTGAACGTTTCGTGGAAAATGTGTTAAATGGGTTATCGTGGAAGACTTGTTTAGTCTACTTGGACGACGTAATTTGGGTGAGAAAGAGCAGGAAGAATCTGCGAAAGGTCTTACAAGGGCTTCGGAAAGAAGTGCCAGGTTCAATATTCAGGACATATTGTGTGGGACCTTGGTGTTGCCTCAAACGACCAAACCCGTTAGATAATGGGTGATTCCAATTGATAAATTGCAGGGAAGAGGTTTCCTAGGTCTGTTTCGCCACAAGTGCTAAACATCTCACTCGCCTTACTGAAGATGCCAACATTTTTGACTGGACAGAAACGTGCACTCCGGAATGAATTATGTATGGGCGGATATCGGGAGGTAATAGTGTGTGGTTGCTACTTTCCTCGAAACGATGTCAGTAGGGTAGTAGGGCCGGTTTTGGACCAGCCACCTGGTGGTGACCTTGGAAAGTAGGTCAAGGTGAAGTTCAAAGGTCGCCTGCCACGTGGCGGTGACCTTGGAAAGTAGGTCAAGGATGGTGGCCACTGCCCCCCCCTCCAATTGGAAAGTAGGTCAAGGATGATGGTCACTGCCCCCCCCCCCCAACATGTAAATCCTGTTCTCTTTTTTGGGGTGTCATATTTCATATTCAAGGTTAACTTTTTTGTGTCATATTTCATTTTCAAGGTCAAGTGTCATATTTCAACGTTTACGCTGGGCGTTCAAAAGAAATGAAGTTCGTTAACCGCGCGAAAATCCGAGCCGAGAAGGCCAAGACCAAGTTATAGTAACAAAGATCTTTGTGCAGTTGCCGGGGTAATACCACTGGCAACACAAGCGGAAGCTAGAGCAGAAGGAGCCACTAGGAAAGACTCCTTGGCTCTAGCCTTGACTCGCTGTCAGGAGGAATGGGGTCGTAGGAAGTCCTGGACAAGTAGGTTGATTCCCGACGTCCAGAAATTGCACCATAGAAAGCACGGAGAGATATATTACCATCTAACACAGTTCTTAACAGGACACGGGGGAGTACCTACGCAGATTGAAAAGGCGACGGGAGGACACCTATGCGGACTGCGGTCATGGAGACACTCCAGGACACGCAGTACTTCAGTGTGAGAGCTGGGAAAGGCGTAGGTGGACGCTGAGAATGGAGTTGGCGGACCCGATAGAAGAGGATAGCATCATCGACAGCATGATAGAGAGCAGGGAGGAGGATGGACGACTTCATCGCGCATGTAACACGAACAAGAGAGAGGGATGCCAGGCGAGCACATTAATAGCGCAGCCCCGCGGAAGAACACCAAACGTGATACCCGCGACGTTGGGATTTATTACGGGAAAGTGGTTTAGTGGGGGCAGGGCTCACACTACCTCCGCCATAGAAACAAAGGCGAAGGCATTCCGCCATCCCCATGATTATAGTAAAAAATTTGATCCTTTGAGCCGAATCATTTTGTTATCTTCTCGCATATTCCGTCGACAAATTAAATAATACAAAAATACAAAATTTTCTTATAGAATGTGGCCTGTAGAATCCATAATTTCAAACAGTTCCAAGATTGGGCTACTAGTTCAAAAGTTACAGCACCAAAATTAATAAGAAAAAGTGTTTTCCCGAGATATTTTGGTGCAGTCGATTTTTGGTAATAAAGGATAGGGTTAGGTCAAATTAGTTTGACAAAATTTTAGACGCCTAAACCAATTTGACCTAACCTAACTATCACCCTAACCTAACCTCACTAATTTTTTATCCTAACCTTCAATCTCCTCCCACATCATATTCTCCTGATACAAGATTTCTGAGCTAACCTAACTATCACTCTAACCTAACCTCATGCGGTCAATGTACGCCCTCTGAAGCCCGAATTTCTGGTGTGGCTTCAGTGGAGACCGCCCCACGTTGCTGTGCCATTGTCGGAGGTTGAATAACGTTGGTTTCTTCCAACCCTATCGTTCGCACCCGGGTCCAGTAGATGAGCAAAGAGACTTCTAGACCAGGAAGTGACGTCACGCCAATGAGAATCGAGTATTTCGGTCACGTGGTGACGTGTGAGCCAATGGGAGCGCGTGAGTCGGCCATTTTGTGTGTTTTGCTTCCGGTGTTTCTGGACCAGGGGGGCTGAAAATCGCGAAGAGAGCCAGTGGGCGACGGCATCCTACATCGAAACCATGCATGGAGGAGCTCTCAGATGATGGCTGCCTGCGCGCCTGTGACGAAGAAGCAGGCGCGTCAGGAAGGAGACGTCCTCTTGAAGCGCGGTGGAGGGGCGACCGAACCTGCAGGCGCTGGCTCTGTTTCTCTCTGTGAGGTGGTCGCTATTGATAGGGGGGGCTATAGCTCACACAAGGTGGCAAGGTCGGCGATGGGAATGCTGGGCTCTCGCACAAGCGGGCTCGCAAGAAGTGCCTGGATGTAGTTTTCTACCGATCTACTTTCTGGCCCCTTATCAAAACAGGGGGTTTGGGGCGGCGGGCGGGGGGTAGAACTTATTCATGGTACTCTAATAAAAGTTCTCAACGAAAGGAATTAATTTCTACCAACCATAGCCTCCTCCTCCACTCCTTATCGTGATCGGATATAAATAATTCTTTATATCTGAAGAACGGATTGTCAAAGAATGGTGTTCACAAAAGGGGAACTCAATCCTTCCACAATATACTCTAGAAAGCAAAATGGTGCAAAAATTTTTAGTTCCTCCCTCCCCCTCGAGGTGGTGTAGCAAAATTATGTGGAAAACATTAAATAAAGCCTTTATTATATGACAAATTGTTTAAATTGATACAAATAAAAGTAAAATGTATATAAAATGTACACAATAACGCAATACGCTAACATTAATACACTTTAAAATGTTTTAATCTGTACAAGGCGACCGTTGACTTCTTATTACCGAACGCAATGTATCCGCTTCCCGGCGATACATTCATCGCCGTAATATTACCCAATTTTGTACCGAACGGTGGAAAATTACTAAAAACTGTACCGGTACCGATGTGAAACAGACGCGTCGAATTTTCAATGTCGGTAGCGGCAAATGCGACAAACTCAGACGTCGAGTTAAATGTCATACTCGTCACGCCTGTGGTCAGATTAAAAAGTGTCTTCCTCGGTTTCGGCGTGTTGCTTCTCAATATATCCTCGGTACCGTATATGTTTACAATTCCGTGCGTCGAGCCGGTCGCGATGAATTGGTTTGTGGGCGAAATCGACAGAGTCGAACCCTCCAGGCATCCCTCGTCGGTCCACTTGTATTTAACGCGCCTCATATTCATGTCCCATATGGTCACTTCGCCGGTGGCGCTGTGGCCGTACAGCAAATTCCCGGTGGGATTGAAACAGAGAGCGGTGACATCGGCGTCTTGTTTCAGTAGGCAAAGTCGCTCCTTCGATTTTGAGGATAGCAGGTGAACTTCGCCCCATTTTCCGGCGACGGCCATGTATTTCGAATCGGGGGATAAAACGAATTTCTTACACTGCGTTAGCCCATGCGGAAGTGGAACTCGATGCGCTTTCGCGGCCATTAAATCGTAACTGTACAGGTGAGAGTGACGCGAACCGAGTATAGCTTCATTGCCGTCTCGAGCAAACTGTGCACACAGAATTGGGAATCGCTCGAAGGCGACGCTGTGCAATTTATTATTACGTTTCCCGTCAACAGCGAATAAGGATGCCACTCCACTACTCCCCGCAACGAGAGCAGCGGTCGATGATGGGTGGAATTCGATACAATTTATGATACCCTCATTGTACGTTTCGCTATTCAAGTCTTTCAATTTCTTAAACTCCAACGAATGCGACGCCATACTCTGAATAGCATTTTTTTCGATGAAACCGCATGTCCGCAATACCTCCTCCTCATCAGACTCAGACCCATGTCGTCTGTGCAACTTTAAACTGGCCCAATGCGGCGTGCCGATCACCGTTTCGAACTTATGCTTCAGCAGGTTCGAGTATTGATTAGAGAAGTTATTGATCCCGCCTTTCGGCAACATCCTACCTTGCGAGTTAAGCGCCTCGCGAACGTCGATACCGTCGTCATCGTCCATCCACACCGGCTTCCTGTCAGAATCGCCATCACTCTCGTTATCGTCGCCCACACCCGAATCGGGGGTCACCGCCGGCATGTCAACGCAACACTCATCCTCGGCCTCGTCCAAACTTTTGAGAAAGCTGCCCGATCCACCGAAAAGTATGTTCGATAGGCGTTCCTCTTCGGCCTGTGCCTCCTTGTCGAAAGCTTGAAACTTGTTCTTCGGGGCGAGAATTTCGAACTGATCATCGTCTTGCTGCGATACGTGCTTCCTTTTGCGATTTTGCTTGGGCATTTTTGGAAAAATCAACAATTAGGAATGTGGGAAATGTAAAAAAAATGTGTTCATAACCACAACACTAGAAGACACGTCAAAAATCCTACAGGACGATTTTCATACTTCGAAAGCCATTGGTTATACTCCAAAGCTCTACAGGGCGCTTCATAATGTAGGTAGCAATAATACGTACAATATTTCTTTTTTCGGAAACAAGACAGACTAAGAGATCCTTGTTCTGGTCTTGGAACTGGCCATGGAAAATGCGACAGTCACTAACTTTTATGTTGAGGTTCCTCCTTCTGGTAAAAGGCACCCCCACCGTTTTGGACGGATTAATGCTTTGGGTGTTATCTGTACACCACCTCTCTCAGAGCCTTTTGCAATTGCTCATACCGCTGCATCGTGTTTACCAGAGCCAAGCCGTCTGGTACATACCCTTGCACATATATAGTAACCTTTTTGTGTCGGCATGGATAGTCTATCATAGTAAGGGCACTGGGCGATAACACCTCCCGCCCCTATTGTTGTGGAGGTGAGGCTTTTATGTTTCCAGTGGCCCCTTCTCCTATCATGAACCGCCGAAGAGTCTATTTCAAAGTTCGCAGTTATGTGTGTCAGGATCTCCGCTCGTAGCTGATGAACGTGCGTTTAACGAAGCCCTGGAATCGGGAAGAAGAAAGGCAGGGGGGCGTGCTTTCGAAACGTTGAAGATCGTTAAATGGCTGAATTAACTGGATATTCATAATAGAACGATCCCGTTAGCTTGAATTTTGTGACAGACAAGCCCGTCTGGTTTTTGAGAAGGATTTCCACATTTCTAAGACCTCCTTTGTAGAGAGGGTAATTAAATAAGTTCTACCTAAGTAGCGCGGAATCAGAATACTTCATATGGGTTCCAACCCTTGATCCTGCGTCGGAAATTGGGTGCCATTTATAACACAATTAGTCATAACATGCAGTAGAATAGATAATGAAAGTGGAGTATGCGATCTTTGTGCCCAAACTGGTGCTTGTCAACCCGTGGATCTGGTTTGGTATCGCCCCCGTATAGGCGACGAGGCCTATCTCCGGAATTGCAAAGAGCTTGGGGAAGGATCGTACAGTTTAGTTAACAAGTGAAAAACACAGACGGACGGACAAAAAGTCTAAGTGAATAAAATTTAAACAGTTATAGTCTCTTGATCAGTATATGTAGGTACCAGAGCTGGGCAGAATACCTTCAAAAAGTATTTGAATACTTTGAAAAGTATTTCATTATCTTACTTTGAAAAGTATTCGAATACAGTAAAAAGTATTCAAATACTTGTCACTCCAAATATATTAAAAATTTAAAAATAAAATTTCTTATAGAATGTGGCCTGTAGAATCCATAATTTCAAACAGTTCCAAGATTGGGCTACTAGTTCAAAAGTTACAGCCCTTTGAATTTTTTTTTCGAAATTGGTTTCTAGTCTATAACTTTTGATTGAGAAGTCTGATCGAAAAAGTACGAATTGTTTTGGATTCTACGCACCAAAATTAATAAGATAAAGTGTTTTCCCGAGAAATTTTGGTGTAGTCGATTTTTGGTAAAAAAGGAAGGTTATACACTGCCTTTTTTTGAGGCCCAAAAAAAAATTGTCTCAGATCGACCCGGAAAAAAATTTTCTTATAGAATGTGGCCTGTAGAATCCATAATTTCAAACAGTTCCAAAATTGGGCTACTAGTTCAAAAGTTACAGCCCTTTGAATTTTCTTTCGAAATTGGTTTCTAGTCTATAACTTTTGATTGAGAAGTCTGATCGAAAAAGTACGAACTGTTTTGGATTCTACGCACCAAAATTAATAAGAAAAAGTGTTTTCCCGAGAAATTTTGGTGCAGTCGATTTTTGGTAAAAAAGGAAGGCACTGCCTTTTTTCAAGCCCGCAAAAAAAATTGTCTCAGATCGACCCGGAAAAAATTTTCTTATAGAATGTGGCCTGTAGAATCCATAATTTCAAACAGTTCCAAGATTGGGCTACTAGTTCAAAAGTTACAGCCTTTTGAATTTTCTTTCAAAATTGGTTTCTAGTCTATAACTTTTGATTGAGAAGTCTGATCGAAAAAGTACGAATTGTTTTGGATTCTACGCACCAAAATTAATAAGAAAAAGTGTTTTCCCGAGGAATTTTGGTGCAGTCGATTTTTGGTAAAAAAGGAAGGTTATACACTGCCTTTTTTTGAGTCCCGAAAAAAAAATTGTCTCAGATCGACCCGGAAAAAATTTTCTTATAAAATGTGGCCTGTAGAATCCATAATTTCAAACACTTCCAAGATTGGGCTACTAGTTCAAAAGTTACAGCTCTTTGAATTTTTTTTCGAAATTGGTTTCTAGTCTATAACTTTTGATTGAGAAGTCTGATCGAAAAAGTACGAATTGTTTTGGATTCTACGCACCAAAATTAATAAGAAAAGTGTTTTCCCGAGAAATTTTGGTGCAGTCGATTTTTGGTAAAAAAGGAAGGTTATACACTGCCTTTTTTTGAGGCCCTCAAAAAAAATTGTCTCAGATCGACCCGGAAAAAATTTTTCTTATAGAATGTGGCCTGTAGAATCCATAATTTCAAACAGTTCCAAGATTGGGCTACTAGTTCAAAAGTTACAGCCCTTTGAATTTTCTTTCGAAAATGGTTTCTAGTCTATAACTTTTGATTGAGAAGTCTGATCGAAAAAGTACGAATTGTTTTGGATTCTACGCACCAAAATTAATAAGAAAAAGTGTTTTCCCAAGAAATTTTGGTGCAGTCGATTTTTGGTAAAAAAGGAAGGTTAAGTATTCAAATACTATGCGAAGTATTCGCATACTTCTCAAAGTATTCAAATACCTTGCAAAGTATTCGAATACTAAATATTTGTGAAAGTATTTGAGTTACAAATACAAATACTGCTTCCATAAGAGTATTTAATTACAAAGTATTTGAATACTTTAAAGGATTTGAGTACTAAAAAGTATTTACAAAATCGAATACAGCCCAGCTCTGGTAGGTACCTATATTACTGCAAACAGAATTGGAAATTTCGGAACCGTTCGCGAGTTATCATGTACGAGTAAACAGGCGGACAGACGGACGTACAGAAGGTCCAATCCATGAGATCGCTTGTTAATAAACATTAGTATAATCGGGATACGGAAAGTACCACGAGGAATAGTAGTGGTTGGCCCCATACGTGCGACAGGAATAGCACAGGGATCATCTAAAAGTGTAGGAGGTCTCTTTCTGTTTGGGAACGTTTTGGACCACTGCGTAACCAGTGGTAAAGCCATAAAGTTCGCAAGTTCCTTCAAGAGAGTGGGAAAAGCTAATTGTTTCCTATATGAGCAAGGACGATTTCTTTATTGTCTCGTAACAAAAGGCAGGCCTTGAGACAACCCGCCATCAGTTACCAGGATTTCTGGATTTACAAATTCAGGGTGTTACAAAGATCGGTCTGGATAAGTTAGACTGGCGCATTGTACGAAATATCCAGGAGATGGTGGTTTCGGCTAGAGGTAAGGGTGGGGTGGATATATTGACCTGCTGTTTCACAGTAGAGGTAACGGGGAAGCTAAAGGACTATAGAGACAGCGTGCAGGCCATACAGGATGTTATTTTGTACCAGTTTAGTCCGTCCTGCTTCGCAGGAAGTATATCTGATCTTATGTGTAATGAACATCGGGAGATCCGAAGTGTTTCAACCAAATACACAGAATTCTGGTAGAAATTGTCCTTGAATTTATGGCCACACAGCCATTGTACAGGACGGAGAGCATTGTCGCCCTCTACCGAGAAAATCAGGAATCTTTTGGCAATAACCTGTGTAGATTATAGTGGGTGTGTGAAAAACGTATTATGTTGTCACATGTTACAATAGATGGCAGTTGTGTTCGTGGTGGCTTATGGGAAAATCAAGTTCATTTTCTAAAGATGGATTCATTATCATATTTTGCAATATGGAGGATAAAGAATATCCGGCTAACCCTACCTAGCACCTATTTTTCAGTGGCTCTTATTGTAATATATTATTAAAGGCAATGTACTCAAGGAACTGACCACAGTCAACCCTTAGGTCGATCAATGAAACGACAGACCTCAATTTAGAACAAAATATCTGGTTAGGGCTGCGTGGCCATCCTGGATTATCGGGAGATTTATCACTTTGTCACTCGATGGCACTAAAACAAGGTAAATTGATGAGATAAGTTGGTAATTGGACGAGATATAAGTAAAGTTTGGTTTAAAGCAGAGAAAGTGTGCGAAAAAACTCGAAAATTAACGTAAAATATGGCAGGAAAACTTAAAATTCGCGGGCGATCGTGCGAGGGTGACTCATCGAATTTGTGTCATCTTGCCTTACGACGTGGCGTCGCGCGACTGAGAGGAGATGCACGAGTGCAACGCGAAACAATGAAATGATAACGGTTACTAAAAGGCGGCGGTGGCGGCGATAGGCGAACATAATTAATTCTGCCCCCAAAAACCTAAACAAAACGTAGGCTCTAATGCCGTTAAAGACGAATTCCCTTTCATATGCCTTTCTGCGTTCAGTTCGTCAACAAGTTATTGGAAGAGCAATGTACTATGGGAATTATTGAGGTAAAGGGCATGCGCTCTTCAGTATACGGTTGGGTCTCGGCTGAAAATGGCGTCTGCAAAGTTTCTCGAGGAAGCTCTGAGTACAGATGTCGACGAATCGGCCGTGAGTGCGCTCGTAGGTTCTTTGGAAAATCAGCTCGTCACGACAACATCTCCGCAATCTGGTCAGACAAATTTAGGAGCGGGGATTAATCAGAACCACATAAACAGTGCAATATCAAATGGCGGGACCGTTCCTTCACAGAAACACGGGACTATCGCCAATGGTGACTCTGTGAACGTCGCTACCACCGCGGAGACTACTAAAATCCTAACAAATAACGCGCTTCCTGGGACTATTATAACCGGCGCCGCTGCGCAAGCGGCCACAGGTGCAGTACAAAATCAGGCATCAGTGGGAAACTACATAAATCAAACAGTGAACAGTTTAGCTCAGGCCTCAAAGGCAAATGACGGTGTTAAAATTGTGCACTCGCAAACGGGACAAGCGATGACTAATACCGGGCCAGTTTTAACGAACCGAGTGACTTTTCCCTCACAATCGGTACCGAACGGAACGATCAACCTTTCGTCCTTAACGCCCGCACAAACTGTCCTACAGACATCGACGACCAACGTACAAAACATACAGGCTAAGCAGCCGACGTTTGTGATAAAAACCAGTGCGGCGCCGACGGGTACGCCAGGCCTAGTGACCGTACCGATGACGGCGACAGTGCCACAAGTCAATAATGTAGGTAGCCCCCCGACCCAACCTCCTACCACTGTCCTCTCTAATCTTCAGGTAGTTAACGTAAGAGCGGGCGTCCCCAATCAACCGCAGAAGGGACAGGCGGCACGCGTAGTGCTGAGCGCACCGCAGATGGTCGGAGCCCGTCCCGGAGCTCCAGTAAGTTGATGTACACTCCGGCAATCGAAGCGTTCTCACTCACATTTTACTAACCAAGACGAGAGCACTTCGATTCCGTCGTCCAAATTTGTCGTCTTTGTTGCGTTTATTTCGATTGAGTTCATTTTATTTCGTTCACGATTAGTTTTGAGTGTACACCACATTTACAATTTTTGCATGCTAATTGCGTTTTATTTTTGTGACATAACCTCAAATTTGTGGTAGTGGTTTGCTTGTAAAAACAAAACAATTTGGGCATTTCGGCTTAAGCGCTCGATTTACTTTTGCCTGCTATAGTAATTGGTAATTTTTGGGGGCAATTTACCCGGCCCCCCCTTTCCTCCTGAAGTTAACTGCGAGGCGCACAATAATTCTTAGTTTTCGGGTAACAATTTTCATACATAGTTTATTCCCTATGCTAGCCTTTTGTTTATTATATATATACAGTGTGACACAATAAATTTACAAGAGCTAATATTAAAAATTGTTGCTCGTCTCGGTAGTAACCTCGATGCTTCCTTGGTCCCAAGCTACTAACGACACATCTCCCTTTCTTTATTAATGGTCTCTTGTGTAGCCCTTGTTTCAGGTTTGATTCGCTTCTAAGCTACGACAATCAATCCACACTCGACCGCCAATGTTTATGGTAAATCCTGTGATTGGTGCCTGGCATTTTTCAATTTATTGAAATTACCGGGTGATACAGGTACCAATGTTCTCATATCAAATTTAGGGCTACCCTTTTCAAGGGGGAAATCATAGATGTACACCATGCATCCTTTGGTGTATGGTGGATGGCCCAAGGATATCTCGTAGATTTTCTGAGGATGTACACTCACCACACTAAAGTGTGTATGGTGTACACAATTTTATCTGTGATTTCCCCCATGGAAAATATAGGCCAAATTTTCTGGAAAATCCGGCCTGTATGGCGCAGTGGCGTCGAGCTTTGGACACACTGTATATCCCGCTAACAACTTCTCCCGGAATATAAAATCAATGAACAAGGGAAACCAATGCAAGAAAAATCTTTGTTATGCTGCTAGTGTCAAAAACTTTGGCATCAATTTCGTTGAGAAAACAGTAAAACATGTTGTTTCGAGCAGAGAGATGATTTAAATGCACTCGATCTTTCTTATGGGACAAGATATATTGTACAGGATGTTCCCAATTTTGATCGGATCATGTATCTTTTTTAATGCCGAAATCAGAATTTTTTGTAAAAACGACAGATTTTTGAGATCTAGCAGCATCTTATGTTCCATAATCAATTTTAAGTGAAAATCGTTATTCTTTTGTTAGTTACGTGAAAGCAATTTAATGTATTATAATTCAATTAATTAACAAATGTATAACAGTCTTGAAATTGATTAATTTATAACGGTTAATTAGTATTTATCACTCACAATTTATAACATCGATGTTGGAACTAACTGAAGCACAATTCGATCTGCTTATATAACAAACGCCCATCTTTCTCGAAAGTTTTCGAACGCTCACGAATATTCTAAAATGTTTTCAAACAAAACACGTCATATTTCCCGTCACGTCCGCTTTCGTTTCTTATCGCCGATGGCACCTCGATGTCTATCGGGATTTCTAGAATATTCGCTACAGTATCAAAAATCGTTAGAACTAAGAGGGTCACTTTTTAATGAAACGCACTAATTTTCTTGAGATACTATTAAAGAATGAACTTTTTTTAAAAATATAACGACATAAAAACATGATTCAAACTGTAAAATTATGAAATTCTCAGAAATCAATTAACGAAGTATTTTATGTTGTTATATCTCAAAAAGTGCACTCTAAGAATATGGAATGAAAGTTAGTGGTTGCCATTTAAAAAAAATTTGCCCCCCTTTGATCCCCCACTGACCACAAATTTAAAGTAGGTACGTAGCAAACTTTTTATATTTTGGATGGTGTTGTTTGGAAGATAAATCCAGTGTTCCAGACAAAATGTTCACCCTGTATACATTTTACAGCAAAATCTTATAAGAAATACTTTGTGGAGTGATTCGGAACACATACTCGATCCAATCCGCCAAAGGATGACTCCGCCCCCTTTTTTATGCAGTGTTGCCGCTTAACCCAGTTACACTTGTAAAATTTAAGTCGATTCTCTCTACCCGAACTGAATCTTTGGTGGTGATTGACAGAGGCTGTAGACACCTAACTAAAGACAGTTTGTATGTCGCTCGCTTCTCTATTTTAAGGGGCAAGGGATTTTCAAAAATTGTCACGTCAGTACACTAGGGATTTGTTTGTGTTTCCAGACTCCCCCTCTTCAACTTTTTTAAATTTTAACAAACAGAAAAGAACTTATCATTTTTGCAAATTTATTAATTAATCTCACTTTGGCCCGCTGACCGGCTGGCTGGCAGCAAATGCGGGTCCGTGGAAGAACACTATGAGCAGTGTACAATGTACATGTACCGTGCAATTAAAAACTTTAGGGACGGGACTATATGATATGGGACCGGCGACATCTGGGCGCCATCACCGAGCGTGTTTTACTAACGTGGTGATTTTTCAGTTATTTCTTATCCTCTTCTACAGTTTTGGTCCGATTGTTTTAAAATAATGACATTAACCCTAACGGTGATCGTAAGTAACTAAGACTTGGTTTTTCCACCTCCAAATCGTTATCAATGCGTTAGCTGAGGTGGAGTCAAGGTCAAAAGTAGACTGGTAGAAGCCGAAGTGCGTCAATTGCTTTTGCATGCATTGTGCTTTTGTAAGTTATGTTTTGGTAAACACTGCAAGGTGGTCGGTTCGCAAAGAACGCTAATTGTTTTCATTTTGCAGCAATTAACGTTACAATCGTTACACGGACTGCAGCCCGGTCAACAGGGTCATCTACTTCTCAAAACCGAAAATGGACAGTACCAGCTGTTGCGAGTCGGACCGGCGCCGGGCGTTACGACCGGACTAACACCCAGCACGGCGGCCGGCGTGACCGCACCGCTCACGTTTCGAATGCAAACCGTTCCTGCAGTAAGTAGGCTGAACGTACAGTTTCCCGGTATACCGCTTACACAGCAAAAGACGATAGAATCACAGGTGAACGAACACGGTAGTTTTTGGAGTGGAGTTCGAGTAGATTTTGGCACTAAATTTGCGCTAGTGTAGGCGAGACGCTTTCCTTCTTCCAAATTAGTCGGGTGTTTAGTGTAAAATGTTGGCATGTTATTTTGATCGTAGGTATTTATAGATACGAAACATCGGTTACAATAAAAAATTGAAAATAACAATGGCCCTAGTATAAGTTCCTTGTGGAACATCACATTTAGTTCCCATTTCCTTTGCAAAATCCTATGGTTCAAAGACTGATACAAGTCAATTTTCTGTTAGGGTGCTACGCCTGCGCCGACAACGACACCGGGAGCCGCCGTCACCGGACCGGCGACAACATCGACGACGACGCCGACGGTCCAAGTGTCCACACCAGTTCAGGTCTGTTTCAAAAAAATTTGCGTGTCTCGCCTAACGGCGATCGTTTCTTAACAGAGACCGGCGAACGACAATACCAAAGAAAAGTGCCGCAAGTTCCTAGCCAATCTGCTCGAGCTGTCGAGTAGAGAGCCGCGATCGGTTGAGAGAAGTGTACGGACGTTAATACAGGAGCTGATCGACATGCGCGTCGAGCCGGAAGATTTCTGTGATCGCCTCGAGAGGCTCCTCAACGCGTCTCCACAACCGTGCCTCATCGGGTTTCTTAAGGTATACTTTCCATTTTACATTCCAAAGTAAGTAGAGAAAATCTGAGTAGGCGGAGCAAATCTCTCAACTACGTTAATAATTTTTATTCTGATTTGTTAAAGTTGAAGCAGTGTTGCCATTTAAAGAAATGACTTGAATGTTGAAGCAGTGTGATGTATGTAGAAGCTGGACCGGATTTGAATGAAGCAGATATTTTATATTATTGTTATTTTCTAGAGATTGCCATCCATTTTATACATAGTCGAATTTGTTGCTAATTATAAACAATGAAATTCACTCCCAACAGTGGAAGTTTTTGTTTAATATCAATAAACAATTCGCTGCTGAAATAATTATTACAAAAAATTGTACTTTACAGCACAGGTGACAACAATTTATACATAGTAAAATTTATTGCTAATTATAAACAATGAAATTCACTTCCATCAGTGGGGGTTTTTCTTTTAATATCGATAAACTATTCGTTGCTGAAATAATTATTACAAAAAATTGTACTTTACAGTACAGGTGACCACAATTTATACATAGTCGAATTTGTTGCTAATTATAAACAATGAAATTCACTTCCATCAGTGGAAGTTTTTGTTTAATATCAATAAACAATTCTCTGCTGAAATAATTATTACAAAAAATTGTACTTTACAGTACAGGTGACAACAATTTATATATTGTCGAATTTGTTGCTAATTATAATAAACAATGAAATTCACTTCCATCAGTGGAAGTTTTTGCTTAATATCAATAAACAATTCGCTGCTGAAATAATTATTACAAAAAATTGTACTTTACAGTACAGGTGACAACAATTTATACATAGTCGAATTTGTTGCTAATTATAAACAATGAAATTCACTCCCATCAGTGGAAGTTTTTGTTTAATATCAATAAACAATTCACTGCTTTTTTCGAAATTGGTTTTCACCCGCCTGAAAACCCGATTTCGCCCGGTAACTAATTTTTTTTGAAAATAAATTATTTTAGAGTTAGCCTGGACTAAAATATGTACTAAACAACTGAATGGAGTGCGTCACACTGCTTCACATGATGTCATTACTGTATCAATAATGTGACAGGAAATTTGACTTACACTGTACATTTAAAATTATTTTTTGATCAACTTGGCTTATATACAATTGTTTTAAAATTTGGTTTCTTGTCACAATTTTTGCGAGATTATGCGAAACAATGTTAAAAATGTAAGCCCGGTGTAGTAGCGCCCGAACAAAAACAATTAGTATTTTCATGGAACTTTCCGTTTTACAGAAGAGCTTACCTTTACTGCGACACTCGCTAGCTACTAAAGAACTATCAATAGATGGCATCCGTCCACCACCGCCGAACGTTGTATTTTCAATAGTTAGCGGAACGCCGACCGTGCAGACGCAAATTAGACCGATAGTGGCGACGTCGCAGGTACGACTCGTGGCGCCCGGCACGACCGTCGTCCGACCCGGACAAGTCGTACAGCAGCGGCTAGTGACGCCCGTCAGAGGAACCGTTCAGCAAACGACGAGAATGGTGACGACAATAAGACAGCCCAACTCGACGACGCCCGTTATTGTTTCGAGCTCACAGCCTCCCGCTTTGCACCCGGTTTTTCCGAACAATCAAGTGCGACCGGGCGTGAACGTAGTTAGGCAACCGATTCCCGTACGAACGGTTGTGCCCGGTCAAATACGGCCGCCGGCAACCGTACGGACGGCGACGCCCTCGCCCCTACGAACGCCGATGGCGAATTTTAAAACGCAAGGATCTAAACCCATTGTGCCTTCATCTATATTTTCTAAACCACTTACCAAAGATAAAGATAAGAAGTCATTTTCGTCCGCGTATACGGGTGACGACGATATCAATGATGTCGCAGCTATGGGCGGTGTTAATTTGGCCGAGGAAACTCAGAGAATCTTAGGATCTACTGAATTCGTAGGTACACAGATCAGATCGTGCAAGGAGGAGTTTTTATTAAACATGTCCGCGTTGCAACAAAGGATCAGGACGACGTTAGCGAAGAGGGGTCTCGACGAACCCAGCAACGAGGTCGCCGCCATTATATCGCACTCGGTTCAGGAACGACTAAGAAACCTCATAGAAAAATTAGCGATTATTACAGGGCACCGTTTAGAGCTGGTCAAGAGCGATCAACGGTACGAGGTCACGAACGACATCAAAGGTACGGGGGAATGTGAGCCGCTCGCGCGGTTTTTATCGATTTTGTTCCGGTAGGTCAGTTAAAGTTTCTCGAGGACATCGACAGGGCTGAGAAGAAGAGGCACGAGGAGCTTGAGAGGGAGATGCTCCTGAGGGCGGCGAAGAGTCGTTCGAAAACTGAAGATCCGGAGCAGGCCAAACTCAAGGCGAAGGCGAAAGAGATGCAACGGGTCGAGATGGAGGAGTTGCGGCAGAGGGAGGCGAACGCGACGGCCCTTCAAGCTATCGGTCCAAGAAAAAAACCTCGGTTAGATAATGACAGTGGTGCTGGCTCATCGCAGGTAAATACAGTTTTTTTTTGTTTTCTCGTATTCAGGTACTTATATCCCCCCCCCCCCCCCCCCCACATAATAAATAAATTGAAGCAAATATTTTTTTTGGTAATCATGCCGATCAGGTAATGATCGTGCTCTGGACCCATAACCTGTTATGCTGAAACTCTTACAATTAACTAATCAGTGGTGAAATGGCCCCTTCTTACCCATTTCTAGATTTATGAGAGCACAGAGGTTTCTGGCATAGACCTCTGCATGAAAAAGGGTGACTTTTTGCCCCACTGATTCCAAGAGTGTACAGTTTGGGCCGCTGATCCGTATCCTTGTTTGACCGTCTTTTTGTTTTGAACTGTCCGCATACCACTGCATAGAGCATTTATTTCCTAAAAGTGGGCTTGTTTCTTTCCCAATCATCCTTTTACATTGCAAGATTAAATTTAGAAAATTGTAGTTCACCGAGTACAAATATACAATAGGCTGGGAAAAAAAGAACTGACCAAGAAAAAAACCAGCCAACAAATTAATATTGAACTTTATAGCAAAATTAGTTGTTTGTAATGGTATGAATGCATATTATAATGTCAAGTAAATTAATATAATGTTGAATCACAGGCCCCACTGGATAAATAATCAATATTCACACACATAACACGAATCATTGAAACATTACAATAAATTCACATAATAAGTTTGGATATTGCCTTTTTTTGGGCCCCGAAAAAAAATTGTCGCAGATCGATCCGAAAAAAAATTTTCTTATAGAATGTGGCCTGTAGAATCCATAATTTCAAACAGTTCCAAGATTGGGCTACTAGTTCAAAAGTTACAGTCCTTTGAATTTTTTTTCGAAATTGGTTTCTAGTCTATAACTTTTGATTGAGAAGTCTGATCGAAAAAGTACGAATTGTTTTGGATTCTACGCACCAAAATTAATAAGAAAAAGTGTCTTCCCGAGAAATTTTGGTGCAGTCGTTTTTTGGTAAAAAAGGAAGGTAATACACTGCCTTTTTTGAGCCCCGAAAAAAAAATTGTCTCAGATCGATCCGGAAAAAAAATTTTCTTATAGAATGTGGCCTGTAGAATCTATAATTTCAAACAGTTCCAAGATTGGGCTACTAGTTCAGAAGTTACAACCCTTTGAATTTTTTTTCGAAATTGGTTTCTAGCCTATAACTTTTGATAGAGAAGTCTGATCGAAAAAGTACAAATTGATTTGGATTCTACGCACCCAAATTAATAAGAAAAAGTGTTTTCCCGAGAAATTTTGGTGTAGTCGATTTTTGGTAAAAAAGGAAGGTTTATACACTGTCTTTTTTTGAGCCCCGAAAAAAAATTTGTCTCAGATCGACCCGGAAAAAAAATTTCTTATAGAATGTGGCCTGTAGAATCCATAATTTCAAACAGTTCCAAGATTGGGCTACTAGTTCAAAAGTTACAGCCCTTTGAATTTTTTTTTCGAAATTGGTTTTTAGTCTATAACTTTTGATTGAGAAGTCTAATGGAAAATGTACGAATTGTTTTGGATTCTACGCACCAAAATTAATAAGAAAAAGTGTTTTCCCGAGAAATTTTGGTGCAGTCGATTTTTGGTAAAAAAGGAAGGTAATAACTGGCTTTTTTTGAGCCCCGAAAAAAAATTGTCTCAGATTGATCCGAAAAAAAAAACTTTCTTATAGAATGTCGCCTGTAGTATCCATAATTTCAAACAGTTCCAAGATTGGGCTACTAGTTCAAAAGTTACAGTCCTTTGAATTTTCTTTCGAAATTGGTTTCTAGTCTATAACTTTTGATTTGATCTAAGCATACACCTTATGCATTTTTTGGGAAACAAATTTAGGTATACTTAAAGGCGCCCTCTATTGTGGAGCAGTATAAACATGTATCGTTTAAAACTGTAATATGACGCTTATTGATTTATGCGTTAGATGTCGCTGAAACAAAATTAAAGTTTGCACAATTCGAATTCCATAATATTCGTATTATTACAGTGATATGATATGATAGGAGGTACGCTGAGCCATAATTGTTTAATTTAACACTGGAGCTACTCATTCGTCGTAAAGGAGTTATTAAAAGCGGGTACCTGTGGTCACAGATACACACAAACATAGGGCAGATTCTTAAAGAATCGTGAAGGTTTTTTGAAGTGGGCGGAAATTATTTGCAGCTTTAAAGGTCGTGACAGATTGCTAACCGCAAAGGTATACTTAAAAACTATATGTATATCTCTGCCATAATTAACGTTACACTCTTTACCACGCCGATAAGATTTGGAATAGGTATGTAGGTATACACATATGATCTCTTGAATACGTGTCTATAAACAAATCACAAAATAAATTCACAGATTACAAATGCCAAAAATAACGAATTCGAATTATGCATGTATGTGTAGATCTGTGGCAATATCGACAAGATGGCTCTTTTCTAAGACACAAAAAAAACAGTACATAAAACATATCTCTGCGTATGTCAGTTCTGAACTTTAGCCGGCCTCTGCTACGTTAAATCGAGATTAAACATGTGTATCAAATATAGCACAGTACATATTCGAAACAAGTCACCTTGCCAAATATTAATAATCATATCACACGGTTCAATAAAATATAACGTTAAGTATCACATTACAACAAAACAAAGGGACATGTCGTGGCAAAACATTAGTATCAAGCAATTAATTCTCAATGCCAATTGCAATATGTAACAATCAACCACCTAACGTACGTCATTCGCCCTCAGATGAAGCACTCTGTCAATAAACAGTAACATATAAATCATAAAAATAAAAACACGTAAATCGGTCAGTAATTCATATTGCGGGTTGATGGGCAAAACCAGCGCTTGGAACAAAGGAGTACTGTAAATTGGAAAACAACATATTTACGTAGAATACAAGCTATATTGGAATGTCGTTAACTCCGTAAATAATCCAACACGATCATATAATTACTAGACGGATGCAATAACTGTAAAGATAAAGACTACGTCACCTTTGTAATTGTCGAAGCTGCTGGAATATTTAAATCGAATTTTAGCGGGGAAATTCGGTTCCATTACAACATCCAATGGAGACTCGACTACCTCTTTTATATGCTTTAAAGACCAATTATACACGTGTATCTTACAGTATTTTTTATTATACCTGCAGTATAATTTAAAAATAGGATATACAATGAAATCATATTGACGTGATACTCGAATACATGTCTAATTAAGGGGGTGTTCGTAATTTCACGACTGCCATGGAAATTTCACTTGACGTTTGCTTATAAAGATCGTCGTCTTTGTGAATAAAACGATTTCCGTTGAAAAAGATAATACACCGTCCATTAAATCGCTTGTTGTAAAATCTAAACAAACGGTGGTAGGTAAATCCAAATCCGCTAAAGTCAATTATACAGAATATGAAAAGTATGCTGGCATAATATATGAAGGTATTTAAATTGTGCATTCATTCAAAACTTCAAACAATGCTTCGATTAAAAAGTGGAACAGATTTGGAAGCATATCCTAAATTACGCGCGTTTGTGAAAGCTTCAATCAAAGGATATAAGCCAAAGAAATGTTCTGCATTTACAGAAAGCGACCTAAGAGGATTTTTTATTTCAACCCCAGATGACAGTTTCAAAAGTCATACTTGACTTAGCAACTTTAAAGCACGTGTGTTTTAAAGGCCCTTTTTCGCACGCATTTGAGTGTTTAAAACGGAGATTGTGATTCAGGTATAATAAAAAAAATCAATTAAATTCAAGAAACGCCACCTAGCGGCCAAACAATTAATTATAGATAGGTGAATTCTATTTGCGCCAGTGATTTTCTCTTTACAATTGAGCCCCAGACATGTAGGTCCATTTCCTTCTATCTCTCTAATTTTTCCATAAGAACCACCCTGTACTACTGTGTGTTCTGTTTTGGTTGACACTACAGCGGGTATCTCAGCTGTTTTTAAAGATATAGGTTTGTGTAATATCAAACAGAATCAGTCTGGCTGCTTTTGTTTTTGAGATACAGGGTGGAAACGAAAAGTTTAACCTTTTGAGATCTTACTAGCCATGTAAAAACTGTCTATTCTAAATTTTTTTTACAAAGAATGGAGTAAAAAACTGCTGATTGCGTTTGAGATTTGATCCAATGTTGGCATTATTTTTAAATGCAACACTGTATATTTTAAGTCAATTTTTTGCTGATTACACTGATGTTTTTTCTGATGTCATAATTGCGACTCTCAAGTAGAATTTTGTGTCTGGACACATCCACAAGGTCTCCGCCATCAGTCTAGATCTCCTTGCAATTGCGTATATTAGTAACATTATTGCGAACCCATTTTTTGATAAGCTTCTTTTTTCTGTTTCAGGCGAGTGCTGGTGGTTATAGTAATGCGACAAGAGGTCAACTGCCATTAAGAGCGCGCATAAAAAAGGCGACATTAAGGGACTTACAATTTTTATTCGAAACAGAAAAAGACTTATGTAAAAGTAGTATTTTATATAAGTCATATCTCAAGTGATGCACGCTTCTCGTCAGTGTTGTGATATTTAGAAACCTTCACATAAATATTTTACGAATAAGTTCTAAAATGTACACACCACCGTATTTTCAGTATTGTTCTTAATTAAAACAACAAAAAACGGACATTATTCAGGCTCTATCTGCGTCATTTACCGCACGAATGTGATTTGGGACTTTAATTTGTTGTCAATTTTTAAACAAAACGTTTTCATTTGGTATGTGCTAGTGACGACTCTCTTAAGTGGCTGAGAAAGTGACATTTCAAAAAAAAAATTTATTATTTCAGGGTTTGTGGTGCTATGTTTCCATTAAAGTTGACGCAGTAGAAGTTCACGGGATTCATATTTTTAGAACTTATTAGGCTATCAAATTTTTTATTGTAATATTGTAGGAATATAAAGGTATAATGAAGAGAATTGAGATCAAATTATAAATATAAAGTAAAAAAACCGTCGTAATTTACAAGCGATTTAGGTTTTTTAAGAGAAACGTTTCAGATGTAATTAATTGTAGATTTTCTATGATAATGTATTTTTCTTTATAAGAAAATGTTTTAATGAAAAATGTTAATAATTTGTAATTATTTGTAATAATTGTTTTTTAACCTAAAAATAGATATATCATTTTTGTTATAAAATATTTAATGTAATAAAGTAGTAAATAATCATCTTATTTTTGTTTGTTGTAATTGAACATTTTCTTACGTACACCGAAGTTTGATTTTTTAAGCTATCTCTTACGTAACACGATTTTCAGTGTTTAAAAAATCTCCTTTGGTGAAATTCTCTGCAATTAGTCAAGTGATTAGATGACGTAAACGTTAGTTCTAGATTGGTTATTTCTACTACTTGAAATTATTTTTTTTTGTACATGTTATTGGCCTTAACCTGTCCGGACAAAAGTACAAAGGGTTTGTTAACTTAGCGAATTGTTGTTTTTCTATTAGAATTATTTTTGTATGTTTATTGGTAAAATGGCAAAATTGGTAAAATTGATCTCGCAAGGTTGCAAGAAAAAAAATAAATGGGCGCCACGAAAGACATTAATTTTTAAAAAAACTACCCGAACAATTTATTTAGTAACGAACAATTTTCAATAACGATTGTAAATATTAGTACCTACAGCTTATATGCAATAAACATTTGACCAGTTTTATCGCCTTGTTTTCTATTACCATTTTAATAAATTGCGATTTATGATGACGTGTCATTTTTATTTTTTGAATAGGATACCATTTTCTACAAAATTATTTGTCTATTTGCGCTTGTAGGCTTGTCTCATAAGCGCTCATGACTTTTGTACTCGTGCTACTACAGGTTTTAACAGGAAGAGAGAATAGCAAATATGTGACGGGCGCGTCCACGTTCTGGAGAGCCTCCAAGGGGAACCCTTTGCGCTGCTCTTACTCGTTTTAGAGTAGGTTTTGTTTTGTTAGAATTTTATTTAGGCGGGATGCAAATGAGGTGGATTCCGTAGAGCTACAAAAACTCTTCCATGCCTCCCTCGGACGCCTCCTAATATTTTTCTTATATAGCCTTAGGTTTACCTTATTTATAGGTCTCCCAAAATTGGCTATAGCTTTGCTCTTCTTTGTAAATCATGTAGATCGCTGGAAAATATTTTCAAGTTCTAAAAATGACCAACAGAGGGCGCAACTGTCATCTTAAATTTTAAAATTGAATTTTCTTTCGATTTCGCATAATAAACTAAACATTCTTTTTTCACATTTTTAAAGAGAACTCGGTTATTTCAAAAACAAAGATGGCGTAGGGTGTTCAATTGTTTTTGCAATAACCTGCTTTAACTTCTTAACCGTTTGACCGATTTTAACAAATTTGGTATCGTTGAAAAGAGCATTCCTTGGGCAATGAGCAAAATATAGTTAATTTAGTTGAATCCTTCTCCGCCAGGGGGCCAGTTTTGACACTATGACCCAAAATCCTAAAAAAATTAAATGGAACGATATGACATTTTCTTTATGAAAAAGTAGCCAATTAACATCCAAAGAGGCCAGTGAAAATCGTTTTTCAAAATCTCATTCCTAAGCTCAAATATTGCGAAAATGAGATTAATTAATTACTTAATTAATAAACATGCTTATAACTTCAAACTTGTATCTTAAATTTACTTTTTACGTATTTCCGGTATTTGTCGATGGCGCGAAAGAAAAGCACTACACTTTTAGGTAGGCCTTGGAAAATTAAACAAATGAAACACGATACATTATAAAATAATAACAGCCATAATTTGTAAATTATTCTGCTGTGTTTACATTCAGAAAGTGCAGTTTTTTGAATTTGTAATCTTTTCTAAAATGCCGATTTTTAACCGAGAAGCATTTAATATGCTGGCGATATATTTTGAGTATTTTCAAGATGCGACCATCGCTGCCCGCATCTTCTATTTGCGTTATCCGAATCGGCCACGAACCATCACCTCCACCTTAACTGTCACTAATTACTTTTCTTCCGATGGGGAATTTGCCGGTAGGCCATGTTTTGTTTTAAGTTCCAGAAAGTATCGCCACCATTTGCTGAACCTCCGACTCCTGAAATTAACATCTTCGATTGAGAATACCTCCGAGGCTACCGTAACAGGCCCGTCCGTCCGTGCTTACCGCTGACATCGTCCAGGTGCGAGATTTTCGTCTGGTGGCGCTCGAGTCCCTCCGTCCGTTCCCCGTAGCGCCATTTTCTACCGCCGACTATCGTTTAATAAATTACCACACTTTGTGTATTAATAATAAGGGGCGGACTGGGTAACTGCGGGCCAGGTGGAATTGCATTGGTTACGGGCCATTAAAGCATTAGTAATGAAAAGCATTAGTAATGAAGGGGGCGGGGGGGGGGGGGTTAGCTCTGAGGTGCACCACAAAAACATTTTAAAGTACTCCTTTCTCGAAAATAAATTACCATACAGTTTTTTTTAAAATTGCAGCTGACAATTAAAAGTAGCAAAATATACAATCCACACGATCAGGTGCGTCGCCTATCATTCTATTTCAGCACTTTCATGCTACGACAAAAAATGATAAATTCATTGTAAAACACTTCAATTAAAACAAAATTTTTTAATTTTTTAACAACCTAACATCAACCCCAATTAGAGAAACGTGTTAATAATTTATTAATAGTGCAAGAAACTAAATACAGCACATACTTATAAATTTCCAACGGGCCATTATGATCTACAGGCCAGGTGGCAATCGCCCCCCCCCTCCCCCGAGCCAGTGCGCCCCTGGTTATACACTGCCTTTTTTTGAGCCCCGAAAAAAAAATTGTCTCAGATCGACCCGGAAAAAATTGAATTTTTTTTCGAAATTGGTTTCTAGTCTATAACTTGATTGAGAAGTCTAATCGAAAAAGTACGAATTGTTTTGGATTCTACGCACCCAAATTAATAAGAAAAAGTGTTTTCCCGAGAAATTTTGGTGCAGTAGATTTTTGGTAAAAAAGGAAGGTTATACACTGCCTTTTTTTGACCCCGACATAAAAATTGTTTCAGATCGACCCGGAAAAAAAATTTTCTTATAGAATGTGGCCTGTAGAATCCATAATTTCAAACGGTTCCAAGATTGGGCTACTATTTCAAAAGTTACAGCCCTTTGAATTTTCTTTCGAAATTGGTTTCTAGTCTATAACTTTTGATTGAGAAGTCCAATCGAAAAAGTACGAATTGTTTTGGATTCTACGCACCAAAATTAATAAGAAAAAGTGTTTTCCCAAGAAATTTTGGTGTAGTCGATTTTTGGTAAAAAAGGAAGGTTATACACTGCCTTTTTTTGAGCCCCGAAAAAAAAATTGTCTCAGATCGACCCGGAAAAAAATTTTCTTATAGAATGTGGCCTGTAGAATCCATAATTTCAAACAGTTCCAAGATTGGGCTACTAGTTCAAAAGTTACAGCCCTTTGAATTTTTTTTCGAAATTGGTTTCTAGTCTATAACTTTTGATTGAGAAGTCTGATCGAAAAAGTACGAATTGATTTGGATTCTACGCACCCAAATTAATAAGAAAAAGTGTTTTCCCGAGAAATTTTGGTGTAGCCGATTTTTGGTAAAAAAGAAGGTTATACACTGCCTTTTTTTGAGCCCCGAAAAAAAATTGTCTCAGATCGACCCGGAAAAAAAAATTTCTTATAGAATGTGGCCTGTAGAATCCATAATTTCAAACAGTTCCAAGATTGGGCTACTAGTTCAAAAGTTACAGCCCTTTGAATTTTCTTTCGAAATTGGTTTCTAGTCTATAACTTTTGATTGAGAAGTCTGATCGAAAAAGTACGAATTGTTTTGGATTCTACGCACCAAAATTAATAAGAAAAGTGTTTTCCCGAGAAATTTTGGTGCAGTCGATTTTTGGTAAAAAAGGAAGGTTATACACTGCCTTTTTTTGAGCCCCGAAGAAAAAATTGTCTCAGATCGACCCGGAAAAAAAGTTTTCTTATAGAAAATTACCATACAGTTTTTTTTTAAATTGCAGCTGATAATTAAAAGTAACAAAAATACAATCCACACGAGGTGCGTCGCCTATCATTGTATATTATGGTCTACAGGCCAGGTGGCAATCGCCACCCGCCCCCTCCCCCCGTGCCAGTCCGCCCGTGTTAATAATATACTTAATATACACTCAAATAATAATTACACTAATTGGTCGTTAATTCCTCCAGCTCACCGGCTATGCGGGAGCAGCCCAAGCTCGTCGCAATGCATATATCAACCCGCTTTGCATTCGAGGCGGCAAACTGCTTGGTGCCCGTGTGCGCTAGACACGCCAGTCTTTCCACATCACGCAAAAGATTTCTTTTTTAGTTTTTTTAAAATTATATTTGGATTATAGTACGGATGTGAAAAATTGCATTTGCACCGCTTTATACCAATAGTGGGCGCGTTAAGAATGCGTGGATTTTGAAAGGCTGGGTTAAAATTACTTAAGGACGAACTGGAGAATCCAATAACCTGTGTCGGGATTTTCCATTTCTTACTGCACATACCAAAAACGCCGATCTTGTCCTAGGGGAATTTTCCACTACGCAGCAATCTCTGGATCGCAACGAAATTGTTATCCTCATACAGTTTCAGTTTATGAACTTATTCCCACTTAAGTTTACCAATGTATTCGCCCATTATGAGATTATTAAAATTTCAACATAATTAAGTCAAGATAAATATAAAATAAAGTGGTCAGATTACCGCAGTTCATTTCTTGCTGTGCTAGCTACGGGGTGATGCGAAAAAATCTTTATTCGAGGAAGTGCGCTCATTCTTGGAGCATCTATGGTGACTAATTAAAAACAATTTAAATGAAATTCCGCTCGTGGGCGCAGTCCGTTTCTCTCAATTACTTTAATAGAATTAAAATGTACCTATGTAGATGCTAGCAACCCGGCGTTTACAAAATAAAAGAAAACCCCATATGTAATTTTTTTGTCAACCTGAAACGTGAGCGAATTTGCATATTATTTTTATTTAAATAAACCTACATCCAGACAATGCACCCACACGTGACTCATATATTATATTTTTCGCGGATGGGTGGTACGCCGGTTTGTATTTTATCGGCAGTAAATGCGCTTAAGGGAATTTTTTAAATTATGTACTACGAAATGAGGTCGGATGGATTAGCCCACGGCGTCTAATAACATCCCTAGATCGCCTTCGGAAATATGTGCCCCTTCTCCGCCGGTTTAATAAACATCGATATCGTGCTATACGCTTCACCTTCGTAGGTGACTTTCGCTTCATAGTGGAAGACGTAATGAGGAAAAGATTAATTTTCAGCCTTTTGTTTCAGGTAAAAGCACGACGAACGATTCGAGATGGGGGAAATGCTCAGAGGGCATAATCGCATGAGGTTTTTAGTAAGAAGAAAGAATGGAATTTAAATCTGCCCTCGGGACCCTTCAGCCGACATAATAACGCAAGGACGCCCTGCGGGCGAACATATTTTACAGCGCACCCAAAAGGCCCACGGCGATCTCGCCCACCGCCTCCAGTAGACACGGCATTTGTAATATATATAAATTGAAGCTTTTTCAAGGATATACGTGGACGGAATTAGACTGCGCGTTTTTATTTAATTAGTATTCTAAAGGACATCAGTTCGTTATTTTTTACGATTCCAAATTCAAAACTGCTTTTATTTTGTTCCATCATCATCC